AACTGTTCCTGGCTCTAGTTCAGGACCTCTACAAAATCACCAGCATGTGGACAGCAGCAGTGGACGGGAGAATGTGTCGGACTTAATTCTGGGACCTGGAAACTCTCCCGCCACACGAATGAATCCCTCTTTGGGAGTGCTGAGCCCTGTCCCTCGGCCCACCGGAACTGCCAACACCATAAGAACCTGGTGGTGACTGCAGAGATGTGCTGCTACTGTTTTGACGTACTCGACTGTCACCTCTATGGCTTCCCACAGCCATGACTTCTTAGATGCACCAATGACCCCTATCCACTCTTTGTGACATGGAAGACAGGGCAGGACAAGCAGCTTCATGGCTGCACTGGGACCTTCTCAGCCATGAATCTGCATTCAGGACTCAGAGAATACACGTTAACCAGTGCGCTTAAGGACAGCCTATTTCCCCCCTGACCCGAGAGGAGCTGACTCAACTTTTCTGCTGTCTCCCTCCTTACTAACTTGGAGGATGCCAGTGATTTCCTGGACTGGGAGGTAGGGGTCCGTGGGATTCGAACTGAATTCATCAATGAAAAAGGCGTCAAATGCATAGCCACATATTTACCTGAGTTTGCTAAAGAACAAGATTGGGATCAGATCCAGATAATAGACTCCTTGCTCAGAAAAGGTGGCTCTAAGGCTCCAATTACCAGTGAATTCAGAAAAGCAATCAAACTCACCAGGTACCAAAGTGAGAAGGTGACAATCAGTTACACAGGATATATTGCTTCTCGACAGCACTGTTTCCAGAATGGCACTCTTCATGCCCCGCCCTCTACAATCACTACTCCCGACACACAGCTGCGTGACCTGTCCCACCCCCCTGTGGCCACCTATGGCTTCACTGAAGCAGATGCCTCCTCTTCCTGGCCCAGTTACTTCCATCACTGCACTGTTTTATGATGCTAGCTTCCGTCGCCAAGTGTGCCTCCCAGTGACTGAGGGCTGGGGCGGGTTACACTGAATGGAACAGAACTTGAGGGGCCCAAGCCTGACTCCAGCTGTTCCTCAATATGTGGTTCTGTTGGATGGAGGCTCCTCCATGACTAGAAGAATTAGGAGGTGCCCATGGGGGGTCCCGATGCCGCTGCTGCATGCGGGTGTGAAAGGAGAGACTGTTTCCTTACCACCGGCTACCTCACCCCTCCACTGGTAGCAGTGCCTACAGCTGGATCTAGGCTGTCAGAAGCACAGATGTGCAAACAAGCAGTTGGGTTGGGCTTTAGGAGGACACATTGTCCTAAGAGAGAATCCAGGGTCTCCAAGCTGGTTTTCTTTCCAGGCAAACCTCCCGAGGGACCTTGAAGAAGGGGAGTTCCTTTTTCTAGTTTGCCTGTAAAAGTGGGAAGACTTGATGTTTCAGTCCTTTACGGGACTTTAGAACAAAGCTGTGTAATTAAACAAGGTGAATCTTTATCTTTCCCAGCATGCTAGGAATCTTCAGCCCACCAGGGCAAAATTCCAAATAGCTCGTTTTATTCTAGGTCATTCAAACCTTCACGTGACATATTTCCCCCGTCCATTGTTGCTGATTTCCAAATAGCTGTCAGCAAGTTTTTCCTCTCTCTTGCCTATCTTAACTGGTTTGGTGCCAAAATTCTAGAACTTGGGGACTTGGAAGGTGCTTTGAAAATACTGTCACAAAGGCACTGTGAAAGTGATTCACAGGGAAGAGGTGGCCACCTGGAAGAAAGGATCCTAAGGACGATATATTGGTTTTCAACAATATGCTTAGCGAACTCTTGAGGTGGATGGGGTGCCCACCCGGTGAACAAGATGTTTTGATTTAACTTATTTTTTGAAGTTTATGTGATGGTGGCATAGCTTTCTGAAATGGGCAAACACTCAAGTCAAAAGATCTTTTGAGTTTTCTTCTGCCAGGACTGGGGTAGGGGTGGGGGTGGGGAAGTGGGGGCACAATCTGAGAAAGGACGTGTGCTATTTCTAGGCATCACTGTCAAGTTTCTTGGGAGGAATGGGTGAGGGTGAGTGGGTTTGCTTGGCACCGTCCTGTGCTGCTCTTGAAGAACTGGGATGTGCAAGGAAAATGTGGGTGACATCAGGGTTCCCAGGCTGCATCCCCCCTCACTGCGCTGCTGGGTTCCCACAGTCTGCCACATTTCCCCTGGCAATGCAGAAGAAGAGGAAGGGGTCGTTTCATGATTTCCTGCTGCTAAGAATAACAAATGTCCTGTTACAAACAGATGTGACAACAGTTCCTCTTAGGTGCCATGGATTGATGTCACGGTGGTCAGCTCTGGACTAAGCCACCCACTTCCAATTTGTACAACAGTATTGATACACAGGGCTTCACTCATTACTGTCCAAGTGTTCTATGTTAAAAGTTGTATTTAACTTCTAAACATTAAAAAAAGCAAAAAAATTGGTGCTAAGCTTTCACCCCTGAGCACGCTCAGTGAGACTGGTCATGCAAGCGTTTACAGGGCCATGCTCCTCAAGCCTGCTTTTTCTTGTAGAAATGTTGCTCAATTTGTCTTCCCCAACGTTTAGTACATTTTTTATTTTATTTTATTGAGGGTGGGGCAGGATACCTGCCATTTAAGAAAATGAAAAAATTTAAAAACCCAAGAAATGGGGAGAAAAAATCAGTGCACAAGCATCAGGCTGGCTAAGCCCAGCACTACACCGAGGTGGGCTCAGCGGGTTTTGGAGTGAAGAAGCCTTGCTCCCTGCACGCTCCCTCGTGCTCTCACACAAGTGTGGCAGTGGAAGTGCTCGAGTTCCTCTTGCTGTAAGGGGACTTAGGAATTGATCAAGGAAAATTATTCAGCCCCATAAGGGATGGGCACCGTCCGTCCATCCTGAACAGGCCCTAGTGAGGAAGCAGCCTGGAGTGTATGGTCACCTCGTGAAAACGTGTGGCAGGTGGCTCTCAGGAAAAATACCAAGTCTGGATCATCCATGTGGCAGCTTTGCATAGGGAGGTAACAACTCTGAACTGGAACTGAGCTGCCTTCCACATGGTTACCAAAGCAGTGATGAGGGTGGCCAGTACGTGTGAGAGAGCCGTGGGGTTAAAGAAAAGGGAACGTTTTCTGCTGAGTGTTTGTGTCTTTTGTCCTTGGGTTGCTCAAGCTGTACGGTAGGTAACCAGTGTTTTCAAGGGACCAGCCCAACCTCGCTGGCTTAGTCCAGAGTTCATTTAATCCCTAGCCGGGAGTGCCTTTTGGTCTGCAAAGTTGGCTCGCCCCATGATGCCCACACCTAGGACATTCTCTCTGCAATTACCAATTGTCCATGTTTTACATTAACTAAAAGAGAATGTCTTTGATCACTAGAGTTTGTCAGCGTCGGATTGTTTCCACTGTGACATTCTTAAACTTTTTCTCTTCATAATATTAAAACAACTCACGTTAGAGATCCTTTCAACATGAAAGGTTTATAGTTCAGACATTACATATTTTGTTGTTTATAATAAAAATCATCTATACAAAAGAAGTCCTGGGTGTTAGTTTTAGTATTTTCGACAAGATCTGTTTTCCATATGTTATCAGTAACAGTTAGTGAAATTGTAGATATTTTCTATTGGGATTCTAGGGAGCTCTCTAATTGTTCTTTCTGTTTATTTTTGTTCTTATTTCTCTGAAGCAAGAGAGTGTATGGCCTTCAGTGCAAAGACTTCAGACCAATTCTTTGTATTACACTTGGTTGCCTCTTGGCTATATAACTTCTAAGTGCAAATCATTGAACTAATCAAGTATTGTAGAGAATAAATCATAATGGGTAAAAGTTAAAAAC